AACTCCGAGCACAAAAAGTGAGATTGTGCCAAAAAGTGACCAACGGAGAAAAAGACGAAAAGTGAATAGTGTCGAAAAATAAAAAATGTGGAAATAACACGATCCCTTAAGGAAGTTGTCAATCCAAAGGAAAGAGTCAATTTCCGAGCACTTGAGATGACACTAAGTGATAAGAAACCAAACTCAGAAAGGAAAAGATAACGGAAAAAATTTATCCTTAAAATTTGTGGAAAAAAGAAAGGAAGAAAAATGATCGGGTCTTTACAAATCAATTAATCATCCTACAGTCTTATAAATCTCACTAAGACCTAAATCTACAGTAATGGAGGAAAAAAAGAAATTAATCATAATTAAATCCTAATCCAAAAATTCAAAAATTAACCAATAGGCCAGTGGCCTAGTGGTACCAAGCCCTTATTTCTCAAAGAGAGGTCAGGGGTTCGAGCCTCTATGGAAGCATGTGTGTGTGAGTGCCCAACTAGGAAAAAAAAAAAAAAAACCGAATCCAAAAATTCAGGGTATTACATTTGTCATCCCAAGTCAGCATGAAGCCCATAAGTCAAGAAATTTACTCATTATATTTTATTTTGCCATATATGCAAATATATCACTTTGTACGTTATATTTAGGAAAAATTAGATTTCAAAAACCGTTGAAGATAATTAATAAATCTTCAAGTAATGGATAATATTAAGATAAATCACACCAATACTAAGAAAATCATCCATTGAAAGTTCAATTCTAACAAAAACCACTCATGGCTATTATCAATTGATTAGCTCATGGTTCTGAGTCAAAATTCCATTCCACGGAAATGAGACATAAGACAATGATTTTGGTTCTAGGTTTAATTTGTCCTCGTTAGAGAGTCATGCACAATTTTTTATTTTATGCAATTCTTTGTGTTTTCTTAAACTGAAATTTGTTAACTTAAAAAAAAATAAAAAATAAAAATTGTATGTAATAAAATCCAAACAAACATAGTTCACATCAAAGATTGATGATTTAATATAAAACCTAAATAGAAGATAAACATCACAGTTTCAACCATTTGAAGATAATATGCAAAAATAAATATATACACACACCTTTTACACATATGCTAAGTATTGTATAATTAGAAAAATTCACAAACCCTGATCCTATGTTCAAGCAAAGACGTCATTGCTCCATTTAAAGGTGAAACTCTGAGAAGGGTAATTTGGGATATAAATCACAATGATCGCTTCTTTGCAATTAAGTTTTAAGTTTTAAGTTGAGTCACTATATATTCATCTTCTTTTCTTTTTTTTTTTAACTTTATGGTAATTTTACATCAATTTTATTTAGGATTGGTCACTAAAATCTAATTTTTCCTATATATTAATATATATTATATGAAAGCTGTATGTATAAATTAAAAACTTGGGAAATACGAATTTAACTTAACCGGCCAAGTCATTTTTTTACCCCTTCACTGGACCATTTCTGAAAGAGTAACTGAAGAAGATTTTTTTGTTCACTGATAACCATATAATCTAAATTCACTAGGATCATTTAATAATTCCTCACATCACTAACCAAAAATACTTTATATTTAAATGGCATGAAAGGTGAAACATAATATAACCAATCAATGAAATTATATTATATACTATTTTAAAAACCCTTTTATATTAATTATTATTTTTTAATAATAAATTAATTTAAATAATATTAATTAAGAAAATAAAAAACTCATAATAATTAGATAATTAAAAGAGTTTTTATAAAAGGGGCGTCGAAGAAAAAATTTTGTTGTACAAGTTGTTGAAAAAAGGGGCGTTAACCAGAAAGGGGTCTTAGGCAGGGGTGTCCTCTGTCTCCACTTTTGGTTACTTTGGTTACTATTTATTTTTCTGGTATGATGGATTTGGAAGTTTAGAAAGGTAAGGTGGTGCCTTCTTAAGCTGCTTTACAGGCTGGTTTACCTATTACTCATCAATTTTTTGCAGATGATCTGTTACTTGTGATTAGAGCAAATATGGGGAGTGTTTTAACTTTGAAAAAGTTGCTGACTCAATTCGAAAATACTACTGGTCTAGATGTGAACAAAGATAAATTTGAAGTTTATCTTACTAGATCAGTTAGAAGAAAGAATTCCATTATCAGGTCCTTGGGTTATAAGGTAGGAAATTTACCTTTCAATTATTTAGGATTACCTATATCTGATAAAATGCTGAGGACAGCTGATTGTTTAAGTCTGGTAGATAAAATTATTTCATTACTTCAAGATGGAATGGTTTACATTTGTCTATGGAAGGTAGGGTGGAACTTAGTAGAGCTGTTATTATCCCAATGGTTCAGTACTGGACATCAGTTTATACTCTTCCTATTGTTGTCTCTAGTTGCATTGAAAGAAGAATGAGGAACTTTGTGTGGGGTCATGTTGAAAATTCTAAAAAGATGCATGGTATGAGATGGAAAAAGATTATTGCTACCAAAGAGGAAGGGGGTTTGGGTTTGAGAAGAATCACAGATATTGACATTGCTGGGAAAATCAGTCTTGCTTGGGACTTTTTATTGTCTAAGGATAGGCTATGGGTGGCATGGTTTTCACATTGCTATTTGAAAAAGGCTTCTTACTGGAATATGATTCCTAAATTTGCTTCTTCAGCTATCTAGAGGAGTATTATTGATGTTAAAGAGATTCTAAAGGTCAATTGCAAATACATTTTTGGAACTAGGTAGAATGTTAAAGTATTTATGGATCCTTGGTGAGAAGGTAGGTTCTTAAGAGAACTTTTTAACCATAGGATTCTTGGGTAATTGAGTCGTGATAAGAAGATTAGTATGTGTGATTTCATTACAAATGGTCAATGGGATGATGACAAACTGAGCAACACTTCACAAGAGATGATACTGCTGTTTAAAAATCAGTTGATAACAGGTGGGGTGGATCAGATTAAATGGATTCAACCGTTTTGTTTTAAGGTTGCATGGGAAGCTACTAGAGTGAAATTGGAGGATGTGATTTGGGCTGGTTTATGTTGGAGTGGGGGGAGGCCAAAATGACCGATTCTTTCTGTTTTGGTTATGCAAAAAACAATTATAACTCAAACTTTTTTTGCAGTAAAGAGGTTTTAATTTAGCATCAAGATGTTATCTTTGCTATAAAGATGAAGAAACTTTGGATCATTTGTTCTATAATTGTGATTATACTTGGAAAGTATGGTGTTTTTTGGCTGAAATATGTGGATGGAATTTGCAAAAGGGGCTTAGGAATTCACAAATTAGCAACTCATTTTATTCAAGTTCAGCAACGAAAGGATTTTAAGAAGATGGCTAGAGTTATGTTTACTACAATATTGTATTTCACTTGGTGGGAAAGGAATAATCATTTACATGATAAGTAAGAAAGAGTGGCTAAGGAGCTAGCTAAAAGTATATTATGGGAGGTTCTTGATGTGTTAGAGGTTAACCTGTAGGACATTTTGTAATTTTCTGTTGCTTTTAGTCTAGTTTTTTATGTCCTTTTTTTTTTTAGGACTTGGTTTGTTTACCTTATGAGGACATGTCCTCATATGTTTCTATGTACTATTTTGTTTTATATATATATTCCTTTCATTTAGGAAAAAAAAAAAAAAGGCGTCGAGCATTGTACTATTGAAAAAATTCAAAAGATAGAGGCTATTTAAATTTTTAATTTTTTCTTATATATTAAAAAAAAAACGTTTAATGAAATCACTTTAATAAACTTTTAATGAAAGGATAAACCTTATTACTTTCATTTTGTTTACAAAAAAATGTATTTAAATTCTCAATACTGTGAAAGTGGTTAGTAACATAAGTCACACAATCCTTTTCAATAGGTGTCGCTCTCACACTTCCACTCTCATGGTTCATGCGCACACTTGCTCAAATTCTCACTGCTTATGACTTGATTCTGCCACTCCCGCTTCATGTGGCTTAGTTCATAACTATTGAAAAATGCAAAAGAAAAATTCAAAAAGTGCAAACTATTTAATTTTTTATTAAATATTTAAAATATTAATTGATAAAATATATAAACATCACTAAATTAGAAGCAAAAGATATACTTACTATTATTTTAGGGTAAATTACACTCAGACCCCCTGAGGTTAGGTCATTTTTCAGTTAGATTAGCATTCCGGTTTTAGATTTCACTTATATTTGAATTAGTGGTTTAATATTTCATTTACACCCCAAATGTCAAATTTTGGTGGGGCCATAGTACTTTTGAGGTGTTAAATGACTATCCTACCCTTTGACCTCCTGTTGACTGATTTTGTGACCAAAATTCCCTAACATACACCTTCCTTTTCTTCCTCCTCATACCATTATCATCCCGAATTCACCCTAGACAAAACCACCGCACCACTCCTCAAAATTACACACATATATATCTATATAGATATTTAAAACAGCCAAACATATATATATATATATATATATATATATATATATATATACACACACATATATGTATATAGAATCATAGATATATACACACATACAAAACAGACAAGGGAGCCAGTCGGCCAAATCGATGATGGAGGTTTGGGTTGTGGATTAGATGTGGACACCATGAGGCAGCCGACGAGGTGTAAACGACAACACTTAACTCACCGACCTCCCAACCCTCTCTGATTTGCCTCGATCTCAAAACCCAACACAACTGTTGCCGCTCTATCACCGAGAAGAAGCATAGTGCCGGAAATACCCAAATCTTATCCATCATCGCTCTATCGCCCGACGTTGTCTCTATTGCCACCGACCAGAAAATAAATTGGTACTAATTCTGTAATGACCTTGGATTTTTTCAACCCAGTATGTACTGTTATGAACCGAAAGTTGACCCGATAACGGATCCGAAATGCGGAAGCAAAAGATAAATCCAAAGTCTATAGAGATGTAAATCATCCCCAAGACACCAATGTGACTGTAACGCCCCGAATTTTTTCTAAATAAAATCCTCGATTTCATTAAATCAAAATACTTTATAAAAGACACCCAGGATCTCAAAAGAAATAAAATACCCTTTATTGATACAAAATCAATCAAATTTCCTCAAATAAATAAGACAACATCTCAAATTAATTAAATTGATACTAAATCAATTTCCTAAAAATCTCTAAAAAAAATAATTTAATTCCTCAACTCCAACTTTTCCACCTAAGTCCGCAACTATGAATCCAAGTTCATCCTCGGTACCTGAAACTGTAGGGGGGTGAGACAGTAGGAAAAACCATAACAAGGATTTCAAAGAGTTTCATGATAAATTTGCTTTACAAAAATATATATATGCTTTTAAACAAAATACATATATGCAATTTTAGCAAAATAACAATTAACAAAATTTTTCAAATAAAATCATTCAAGCCATTCAAGGTATGATGATCCCTACACTGTAAAACCATTATTCCACACTGGATCATCAAATTTATCAAGTTTTGCCTTCTCTGAGACTCTCGACTTCCTCACTGTATTTCTCATTCTCTAATTTTCTATCTCTACTTTCTTTCAGTTAATACCATCTTTGCACAAACATTCTATTTATAATGCAATTCCACCGACACTTAAACAAAAATCTACCACCAAAAATCAAATCAAATATCTAAAGTCTAACATAATAATCACAATTGACCCGCCACCCATGCTTCCTGTACTTTACTTATCCTTATATCTTCATTCATTTAATATTTTAACAATTGCAATCTCATCCCAAAAAGAAAACACCACGTGTAAAAGTAAAGGCCAAGCACAATTCAAGGCCAAATACAATGAACCCAAAAAAATGGACCCGCCACCACATATAGTTGCTTTCTATACATCAGTTTAACAAACAAAAATCTATCTCCATAATAAGTGCAAAATTAATTGGGCCAAGAATTTAACTAATGGGACCCACAGCTTTATCACAATTTCCTTACTCTTCTCACCATTTCGCTGGCAGCATCCATGTTGCCCATGCAAGGTACTAAATATATATATATATCATTATATATACAAAGGTAACCAAATAAATCAATTTGCTTTCTTCCTTTCACCAGATCAAGAAACATAAATATATATACAATGTATACAATTGTAATAAACTCAACTCAACCCATCAAATAAGTGAAACCCACCAATTATCAATTTTTTTCTTCTTCTTTTATCCCTTCGGCTGCCTCTCCAACATCATTTCAGCACTGCTCCCTTTTGATTCAATCTCCATCAAACTTAATATATATATATCACACATATATATATATATGCAAGTGCATACCTAATAAATCAAACTCAATAAATATTTAAATTGAGTAATTCTCCAAAATAAAAATTAAATTATCAATTATGACAATTTAAAAAAAAAAATCATGAAATAAAATATAATTTCAACTCTTAAAAATCCGATTTGTCACATTCTCCACCACTTAAAAAGAATTTCGCCCCAAAATTCAAATCCAACAGACTTTGCATACCCGAAAACATCAAAAGTGGTAAAATAAAATCCTAAAATTCTTACCCCAGGCGATGTGAAATTCAGTGACATGAAAAAAAATTGTGGTAGTTGACAGTGCTAGTTATCCGCCCACACACTCTGTAGCCGTTGTGGTAACTAGATGATGCCGTCACCCGTCCACAAAATAAAACCGATAGTGATCTAGGGACACCTGCCCCTAATCACTGATAGTAATTATCCTAATAACTGTCAGTGAACGACATCCGGACGCACACACCCGACTACAAGTGGTAACTAGTCAATACTAAACACTCGCCCACACACACCGGACAACATCATCACTAAACTCACACTTCCAGTTGGGTACAGGCTCTAATACCATTCTGTAATGCCCCGAATTTTTTCTAAATAAAATCCTCGATTTCATTAAATCAAAATACTTCATAAAAGACAACCAGGATCTCAAACGAAATAAAATACATTTTATTGATACAAAATCAATCAAATTTCCTCAAATAAATAAGACAACATCTCAAATTAATTAAATTGATACTAAATCAATTTCCTAAAAATCTCTAAAAAAAATAATTTAATTCCTCAACTCCAACTTTTCCACCTAAGCCCGCAACTATGAATCCAAGTTCATCCTCGGTACCTGAAACTGTAAGGGGGTGAGACAATAAGAAAAACCATAATAAGGATTTCAAAGAGTTTCACGATAAATTTGCTTTACAAAAATATATATATGCTTTTAAACAAAATACATATATGCAATTTTAGTAAAATAACAATTAACAAAATTTTTGAAATAAAATTATCCAAGCCATTCAAGGTATGATGATCCCTACATTGTAAAACCATTATTCCACACTGGATCATCAAATTCATCAAGTTTTACCTTCTCTGAGACTCTCGACTTCCTCACTATATTTCTCATTCTCTAATTTTCTATCTCTGCTTTCTTTCAGTTAATACCATATGTGCACAAACACTCTATTTATAATGCAATTCCACCGACACTTGACCAAAAATCTACCACCAAAAATCAAATCAAATATCTAAAGTCCAACATAATAATCACAATTGACCCGCCACCCATGCTTCCTGTACTTTACTTATTCTTATATCTTCATTCATTTAATATTTTAACAGTTGCAATCTCATCCCAAAAAGAAAACACCACGTGTAAAATTGAAGGCCAAGCACAATTCAAGGCCAAATACAATGAACCCAAAAAAATGGACCCGCCACCACATATAGTTGCTTTCTATACATCAGTTTAACAAACAAAAATCTATCTCCATAATAAGTGCAAAATTAATTGGGCCAAGAATTTAACTAATGGGACCCATAACTTTATCATAATTTCCTTACTCTTCTCACCATTTCGCTGGCAGCGTCCATGTTGCCCATACAAGGTACTAAATATATGTATATATCATTATATATACAAAGGTAACCAAATAAATAAATTTGCTTTCTTCCTCTCTAATTCGGTCAGGTGCCCTTTCACCAGATCAAGAAACATAAATATATATACAATGTATACAATTGTAATAAACTCAACTCAACCCATCAAATAAGTGAAACCTGCTAATTATCAAAAAAAATTCTTCTTCTTTTATCCCTTCGGTTGCCTCTCCAACATCATTTCGGCACTGCTCCCTTTTGATTCAATATCCATCAAATTTAATATATATATATATATCACACATATATATATACAAGTGCATACCTAATAAATCAAACTCAATAAATATTTAAATTGAGTAATTCTTCAAAATAAAAATTAAATTATCATTATGACAATTTAAAAAAAATCATGTAATAAAATATAATTTCAACTCTTAAAAATCCGGGTTGTCACAGTAACCTTCCATGAAGTCACGGAGCTCAAGGAAATAACCGGGAGTGAAAACTAACATAAAAAGGGTCAAATGGTACCCTATGGCACCAATGACAACAAAAAGGACAAAATCTAGTTCAAACTAAACCAAGAACACCACTAAATGGCTTACACAAGATTAACAAAATTTAGTAGGAAGGAACGAAGCGATAAAGGCCGAAGAAACAATCAACCAAACAAAACCTACAAGGCAGCACTATTTCGGTCGACCGAAATGGAGCTTTGGTCTACCGAAATGAGCCAGGAAAAAGAAGGAAAAGAGCCTTCATTTTGGTCGACCGAAATGACAAACCGATCGACCGGTTTGTGACTCGAAACTGTAAAAGGCTATTGGAATTGGACTTTTACTGTTCAATTGAAATTCAAAGGCCATCGGTCGACTGAAACAAGCTACGAATTGACCGAAACAAGTTGAAAATGCAAAAATGAACCTGTTATGCACCAAAAATGAAAAGAAGTCCCTAAGACTCAATCGGATCCCCCATTGCATGATCAAATTGAATTGTATGCAAGTGTGTGATGATGTGAACATACACGCAAGTGTAAAATAACATTTTAAACATGCTGAAATGGCCTATGGTCTTATTACAATTCATTTACAACATTTGACATGTCAAACCTCCAAGTTAGAAAAATTACATTTCATAGGTAAAACTTAAACATGCTAACACTTGCATGTGAACATGAATGCTTCCAAAGAAACGTTCATTCTGCAATTCACCCAAAGCAAGTACAAATCTCCAATCTTGTATCATGTACCTGAAATATGCCCTAGTAACTTTGGGGTGAGCAACATAAAGCTACTCGTAGGAAATGAGTATGCATCGACCTAACATTTTACTTGTTTGCATGATTTAAACATCGTGGTTCATTCCACCTAACATCTATGTCAAAGGTGAGACTCAGGGAGCATCCTAAGCTACCTAAGATCATTTCTAGCATAAAACACATCATTCATGCAATTGAAACAACATAGGAGCATGCTATACAAAGCGACAAAATATAGATTCTCAAAGTCATCAACTTAAAATCTAAAATATGTAAACAACTAAATATAACCATTTAGCATAATTGGAATTTCTAGTACCACACGTCAGGACATAGATTCTCAAAGTAATCAACTTGAAATCTAAAAGTGTGCAAACGACTAAAGTGGGTCATGCCACTTAACGTCTATGTTCCAAATGAATCTATAGGATCATTCCTAAGTCACATTTGAACAATATAGCATAGATGTACTTAGCAACATCAAAATTTATTATTATTCATTAAAAATCATAAAACATTAATGTACTTAACAACATTAAAGCATGTAATGATTCATTCAAAATCATAATGCATAAATGTACTTAACAACATTAAATTGCCAATAACCAAAACCACAAGTCACAATTAAGCATTGGTGGTCAACTTGGAATTGAATGCGAAAACAAATAGTGGAAGACTTGGACATCACGTCTCGGACTAAACTAAGAACAAAATGGTTATTCCGGGCATTAACCCGCTGGAAAGACCACCCTCGTGCGCACTATCTCAGCGGGGAGAACTCATACCTCCCGCACTAGAGCCAAACTCTAGCCATATCACAGTAACAATGTCCCAAGACTCCAAAATAAATAAGTTAACAACTTATATACGAAACATATATATACAGCACGAAACTACATTCCATGCACAAGTAGGTTGAAACCACACAATACAGGCTCTAAATCTACAACTACTATAGGATGACAATGTCGAATCTTCAGAGCGCGATTCGTTACGCGCTATAATAACATCACATGTCGAATCTTCAGTGTGTGATTCGTTATACGCTATCACAATATTTTTCAACATTGAAATATAAACTCATGCATCCATTACAAGTCTAAAATCATGCTTCAAACATATTATCAATGTCAAATACATGATTTAATCAATAATGCAATAGAAACAGAAATTAATCAAATAACTAATTAATTTCTCTAGGTTTCAAATCCCAATCAAATGGTCCCTAATTAACACATGTTATACAACATAACTTAATCATTACATATATCAATTCAAAAACTTGATTAGGCCATTTGAACAACAAAATGGAATTTAATCAAATCATGAGAATCAAATCCCTAAATTCTAAAACAACATCAAATGGTCCCAAATTAACATATGCTAACATACAAGCTCTAGTCATCACAAATATCAAGTTAAAAACTTAATTAGGCCAATGGAACCATTAAATGGATTTTAATTAATCATTTAGATTTTCATACTCATCTAATTTCTCTCAAATTAAAGTATGTTAAAGGACATGCCAAGACTTGATTTAAAAGAACATCACAAGTTCATTTCATGCAAGGTACGGCCATGGAATTTAATCTTTCACAAAAGATAAATATTAAATAAAAAGTGCAATTCTTATTCAAATAATTCCAATTTAATATATGTTAACAAACATATTAAAACAAAATTAATCATCATGCCACAACTTAATTCTAAACTATATAAATCCTTGAAAATTAAATCTTATACAAAGAAATAAATAATACTAATTTTTCTAGATTTGATACAAAGTATGCAAATAAGTTGTATAATCATGGACAACACTCTATACAACACATATAAAATTCTAAAAGATCCCCTACCTCAATTTGAGATGAAAATCTCAAAAGCCACCAAAATGAAACGGCTCCGAATCCGATGATACTTCGGGGTTTTGTCGGGGACAACACCGTGAACATTAACCCCAAGGAAGCCCCATTAAATACACAATTTGACTTCAAACCCGAACTCAAGAAATGGCCAAAATGGGATTCCAATAGGTGGAATCGAAGGCCTAGCCAAGGCGAACACAAAACACTAAGGCACTACGGGGTTTCATTGAAGGGAAGAAGCTCAAAAGAGCAGAGAGAAGATGGCAGCCCTTGGCTGCCATGGACTCCGGCCAAGAGAAGGGAGAGAGAGTGAGAAATCTAATTTTTCACTTAAAGGTCCCCTATTTATAGAAAATCTCAAAAAGTGCCCCGATCGGGCTCCGCTAGGTCCGAAAAAGTGAAATTCGCGCAGACGCGCTCAAACGGAAAAACTCCATGAACAAAAAAGATTTGAAATGAGAAAATATGAACAACGAAAGAAACGGCGTTGAAAATTGAGTCCCGTGTAAGAAGATATGCCCTGAACAAGTTCGGCGACAACTAGGGCAGAAACTCTGAAATTGGAGAAAAACTACCAGAAGGGAATTCTAAGAGTACATGACTTGATGAAAAGTAAAAATAAACCCCGTACAAGAATCCAGGCTCAAAACGAGGCATTTTGTAATAACTTTCAGTAATTGCACAATGTCCGCTCTAAAAAGTGAAAACTGCACTAATGGCCCAGAATGAAAATATCTTCCAAAAGTATTTTCTTAAAAATCCCTGAAATAAAATATCTTCAAAATATATTTACAAAAAACACCCCAAGAGAAGAAAAAGATTCTGAAAAACTATGCATTCATGCCCCTATGGACACCGGGAGCAACTATAGTACTTTACCACAAAAGTAAAGATACGCATTTCGTGGAAACCACCTAGAATGAAGATACGTGAAGTAAAAAACCAACTCCGAACACAAGAAGTGAGGCTATGCCAACAAAGTGACAAACAGGGAAAAGACGAAATAGGGAAGAGGACGAAATAGGGAAAAAGACGAAAAGTGAATAGTGTCAAAAAATGAAAAAATGTGGAATTGACTCAGTCCTCAAAGGAAGTTGTCAATCCAAAGAAAAGAGTCTCAGAACTCACTCCAGAGCACTCAAGACGACACTAAGCGACGAGGAACTGAACCCAGGAAGGAAAAAAATCAACGAAAAAAAAATATCCGTGAAAATCTGAGAAAAAAAAAAGGAAGGAAAAAGACCGAGTCATTACAAATTCTGCAACAGGAAGTTTGTTTGCATTTTCTGTTGTGAAAGAGGAAGCCACCAAGTTGGGTACTATTATCGGATTGACCTTGGGACAACTTATATCTTTCTGATGTGAAAATGAATATAGCTTACAATTTTTGAAAATGACTTAATTTTGGGAAAAATTAAAATTGTTTTCATGTTAAAATTCTAATCAACAACAAATGCCGAATTAAACAA